ATTGATGGAAAGAATGTCAAACCATGCGACGAATGGATATCTCCCAGGAGGAGGTGGTTAAAGGGCCGAAGGTACGAAACATTGCGTAGCTGACTGCAAAGATTTCAAAAAGTTCTTTGGCCCATATTTTTATAGTAACAGGAGGGATTCCTGAAGCCTTTCCTCGAAAACTTTTTAGAGTACCAACATTCTGCAGAGGTAGCCAGAGGTCCCGTCTAGCAACTATCTATCATTTTATTGCCTTCAGATGCTTTTTCTGAGGCAACAGCGGGAATAAAAGGTAGAAGAAGTAGATCCCCATTTTAAACTGGGAAGTGGGTGCAGTATGACTTCAAGGAAAGCACTTTGCGTGGGTATTAGAACTGAATGGTACGAAGGGAACAGTTGTAAAGGGAGGGCCGGAAGACAGAGCGCCTAAATGAGAGAGACCCAGGCTGTTACGAATTAGTACGGAGCATGCGCCATCGTCTTTTTTTCTTTTTTTTTTTTTTTAAAGGAATCAATCTTTCATTATTTCGCCAGAGCTGGTTAATGGGACCCACTGGCCAAACCAAACCTACTCCCGGACCCGAGTCGTGCAGTCATGGAAAAACGATTTCCAATCCCTCACGCATCACTCTCGTTACTACCCTCGTTCACTCCGCTGTGGCAGCCGGGGGTGGTGCCTGAAAGAGAACATCCATTTCAACTACAAAAACTTTTTGTTGAAAAGCATGAAACCTAGAATTTGACTGCAAAAAGCTCCATCTCCTGCTCAGATCGGTGGATTGACGAGCTTCAAAGTGCTGAAGCTGATCTCCTGGCTTACCATCAATGTTGGAAACCGTTACCTTCAGATTAACTCTCAGAAAAGCTTGGACCGAAGAGGAGCTGTTCCGCGTCAGGATACTCCCAGATGCAATGCCGGAACTTTGACTCGATACCCACACCTTCCAACCTAGCATACTGCCACCCTCGACTATGGAATAAAGGGAGCTGCATACGAGGTTTTTGGACCGTTCATATGAAGGGACAATATGGTCGAAAAGACCCATTCGATCATCCGGTTACTGTAATTTAGGCATCCTGTCAGTTCACTCCCAAAATACGATATGGAACTCCTTTTCTGCGCATAAATGATTCCTGGGCATAGGTGATTGGAGGACCTCTAGCCAAGCAATTATACTGAAAGAATAGAACAACAATGCTATTTTCCAACAATTTTTAGAGCTCTTTTAGAGTGTGAACAAAGTGATACGACAAATTTCAGGCGACTCCGAAGTTGGACGATACTCTGAGCTGTTTGCTGCTTTACTAAACTGTGCCTCATTCATGATCTATCCAGCTTGATGTGATTTTGAAGCTGAAAATTCGCCAAATGCTTTCAATTCAAAGCGTACCCCGACGCTTTGAAAAGTGTCACAAATTTGAACTGCCATATTTCTCATTTACACCATCCAATTGATGGAACTGATTTGCCTTGCAATTTCCTCAGATTACAAGTGATTTCAATTGAATTGTCCGTTTTTACTAGTAATACATATGATTTAGACCATGAACGCTATCGCTTCATATGGCTTGTTGCCTTCTTTTCCATTTATTGTTGAGTTTACACAAAATCTGAAGAATTTGTCTTTTTGTTCTGCCATAAATGCTTAAATATTGCTATTAAGTGTAGAATAGTCCTGCACTTCAAGTCCATTCTATCAGATACCTGCATCACCAGTTGTCCCACTAAATATCGATTACTCCTAATGGTAACACCTATATTTGTCCCTATCTCGAGCCAGAGTAGTCCAGTGGATCGTCCTCGCTTGAGAGACAAGAGGCATAGCATTTCTTGGTTCAGAGCTCTTGTTGATAATCCTGGCAATCGTGCTGGAGGCTGAACTGAATTCGGTACATCAGGAGGGTTCCAGTAAGAACCCGTTGTGGTCCATCGGTCACCGCCAAATCGCATAACGCCTCCTACTTACCTCATTTTCAATTACTTTGCGTAAGCAACGGGGTTCCTCATATTCGCTCTGTCCACATTAAAGGCAGAGTTCACGATGAAAATGGTTTCTGAGGTTCCCCTACAGGATGAATTTGAGGCCCCCGCGTATAACTTATCTGGCACCATTAGGTCGGAAAATGGCCTAGTTAGGGAGTTATAAAGGCTGAAGGATTGGCCTCCTGTGAATCCTTGGACGAGTTTCACCGGCATTATAGAGGCTGCATCGATCACAAGGGGACCCATGTAGGAAGTTCAAGCAATTTTTCATGACAGCGACAATGAAAGACCGTTCTGTGCAATTTTGGCCTGATTTAGTCAGCTCCTTGCGCAATAACTTCGACTGAAATCTCGTCCGAATACCCCCCCCCCAATGTTATTTCCTTCATGACAATCTCGTCCAACTCCTTTCTTCCATAGTTTTGCGGAGCCATATTTTTCTCGAAATCGGCGAATTCTCTCGCTTTCTTCACTACCGATGAACTATTCCCTCGCTTTTCGATTAAAAACGGGTACCCCAAAATTATCGTGAACTGTGGCTTTAACATAAAAATCCGAATTGGTTCTTTGGTCCTGATGGCAGTTACGTTTCCCTTGCCCTGTATGAGAATACCAGTACGTCCTGCCCATTTAACCAACTGGCCGCAATGTCAACGCCTGATAAACTGGTTGTGAGTGTACTACGTGTATTTTACATAGTAGATGATTACAATCAAAACCGTAATATCACATTAGACCGACACCGCTAGATGGGTTACTCTTTTTCTTTCTCCCCAAGGCAGTGTAGGGAAAATTGGTGCAGCCAAGGAATAAAGGGAACTGCTGGTAATCAGAAACCAAGCGAAAATGTATGCCTGAAAAAAAACTAGTTTCCTCAACAAGTCTTATTTTACAACTGGGAGTACAGCTTTGTTTTCTGGCCACCACCACTAACTTTTTTTGAAAAACACAACGGAATATCGGTCCACTGATTGAACTTACTGACATCATTCCAAATGTATAGTGAAAAGTGACAGAAAAATTATCGTGGTCTTCGTTTTGCCGTAAGTTTTGGCTTCTAGACGAGTAAAGCTTGCTTAGCTCATTTCTCGCTAATCTCCCACTTACTGATATTACTTAAGGAGTATTGACACCTACGTTCCCGTTTTCACCGATGAACCTCCCTGTTATCTCATCCGGTTAGTCACAACTCCCGTTTGCAGACCCAATTGTGTCTCCAAAGACGGAGTTCTCACACCAATAGGGTGGTCTAGGTTTCATCTAATCCATTTTAACCCACCCAGCAAATCCAGAACCTCTCTTCAACCACTCAAACGCCCTTTTCATCATACGTTCCCTTACTACAAATGCTAAAAAAAACTCGAACACGGGCCAACATAAGCGGATCATTTGGCTTAAACGATGCTTTTTACAGTCTCCTCTTCCTCCTACCGGCTTCCACATCACAACCAGTGATTAACGGGACAAACTGGTTGACCGACAAACTGCCACAGCGAGTAATTGGTTTAAATAACAGAGTGTTAGAGGTTTAAATAAATGGAACCGGAATCGGCCAGAATCAGGATGTTTCCCTTCATAAAAACCGACTGCAGTACGCGCCACAAGAACTCCTCTGCCTGAAAATTGCGGTTCCACTAACGGATTATCAAAGGAAGGAAATGATCCGGTATGACAGCACTATCCTAGCCAGTTAAACAGTGTAGCTCCTACTAGAACCCTGCCGAGCAGCTGAAATGAAAAGGCAGACTCATTGACTTGCAGAGGGACCTTATGGGAGAACTTATAGTCTGAGTTGCATCTTTTTCATTGTGAGGTACGAAGACTTCAAATTTTCGCGATCAGAGTCCTTCTGGAGAGCATCCACGCATTGCAACTGTCACCCGAAGTCGTAGAGGCGTTTGAATGCATATTCGGTCTACACAGTTGCTACTCGGGGCCATGGTTACTATATGACCCTTCAATTTTCTTAACCCTCTGCATTCCAATATTTTCTTGAATCGAACGAAAGCTCTCCACGAGAGAAAACTCCCCTTTTCGTTACGGTTCAGATCACTACAGTACCCCTGCAAGCGAGTGTTCTCACCAAAATGAGGCAAGAAACAGCAACGGAAGTCCGTTGGACGTTTAAATCAATACTACAACCGTACAATAGCTCAGTGAAATTGCAGGATGGTCAAAACACACTTCCTAACACTCAGGGTGTTGGGTGTTTGACGACCACCTAGGTGTCAAAAGTGCAGCCATTAAAGGGCCCGACCTCGAAGCAATCGCGCTCTAATCGTTATTCCTGTATCACGGGGAGTGTCGTGTGACATTGCTTCCCATCGCGGCGTGATCGATTCATTCTTAGGCTCTTTTTTCTGCAGGAGCATGCCCTAGGTCTGATTTTTTTATTTTAGGAGTAGGCTGATAATCGATATTGATTTCCCAGTTTCTCTTCCCTTTCGTATGTATCTACTTCTCCTCAGTATTAAATATGTTTTACTTGGTTCGTGAACAGCTGGAAATCGTCTGCGTAATTTCAGGTCGTACAATTATGGGTGATAGATGGAATTACCAGCCAAACCGTGCGCCCTACCAAGATCCGTCTCGCAAGGGTTAGTATTTTCTAGTAATTGGTAACAAAACAAGCAATGAAAGTAGCTACCTTCCTGTTAATTTCTAAATGCTCCTCTACATCCAAACTGCTGAATTTTATTTCACCGCTTCTAATCCATTTTAACCGACATTATCTGGAACTTCGCCCGTATCTCTTCAAATTTTTCCCCAAAACTTCGTGCCTAGACTTTTTTTGAAGATTTAGAATTAATAAAAACTTCCATTAGTCCCATGAAAGATTGGGGGTATGCTCGTTCCTTCAACCTTTATGTCCCGTATGTATGTTTATGGTCCAATAATATTAAATTAAAATAGGCTTATAACAAAGGATAAAGGACTGGGATATGGGAAAGTCGCGTGGGATAGACTGCTACCATGTCCTTTCGTTTCTGACAGAGGCAAGACCGAAGATAGCACAGAAGTGGGAAATCATTGATCATCATGTTCCCGAAATTGAAGGGTATGAGATCGGTGAGCTGACGATTCATAGTTCTGGAGCTCTTACTTCTGAAAACACCATTAAACCTCCATCAGGACAACAGTATCAATCCGGTAACAGCAAAGTTTACCAATCGGACTATCCACTTACTGCAAAGGATATAACACGGAAGTTCAATGATACCGTATTAGACGTTTCTGTTCGTTTTCAATCAAATTATCGTTGGCTTACCATGATTGTGTTTTACTAAATACATGATGAACATGATGCACCCTGTCTCCTTTTCCTTTGTTCATCATGCACTTTGTGCAATTCCAAGTGTTTAGTTAGAACTTTTAGAAGTGGATACTTCTCAAATAAGTTTCGTAAAGCAGTGAACGGTTGGTTGTAATGACAACCGTAGGATCACTTCACATTAATACTGCAGGATCGATTAGTTTTTCAGTTTTCAGCTGTCGGTTTGGCTTATCAGTTCCTTTATCACACCTACTAATTCGGTTACGGACAGACAGGCCGGCAGACAAAACCAGTTCATCTAAGAAATTATGTGTATATGGGCGATATATACCTTAATCACGCTGTTATGCCAACTTCTAACCTATTGTGTTAGTTTGGTCATCTGTGTTTCGTCCTCACTTTACTGCTTTAATGAAAAGCAACACTAAAACTTACAAAAATAGGAAACCATTCGATGTTGCGACATGATTACTATTGCGATTACGTTCTCATTCTGCAAAGGGTGGAGGTGATGTAGTCCCGTGTTGTGCCGCTATATTGTTTACAAATCGGCGTCAACAATCGCATTCAAAAACTGCTATGATTTTCGATAAAGGTCGAAGCATGGATGCATTCCAAGCCGGGATTGACCAACGTCAATTCTCTGCCCCCCCCCCCTTTTACCTCCCCCTTTACGCCTAAGTAGGGCCTTTTAGTGCATTCACAACCTAAATCGGGCAGGTGGACCTACTGTCTATCAGTAAATTAGGTCGGTATAATGCTTCTATGTAATTGCATATATGTGCATATATCTGACTGATTTTCATTGATTATATCGCAGATCTATACGATGTAATCAACGAAAACCTTCAGTACCATCGGTGACTTGTTTAAATAACTGTAAACATCCTCATATGATATGAGGGATAGGTATCTCATCGAAATTCTAGACAGCGATTGTAGTGCTTAAGATATAGTCCAACCTTTGGCTAAATTCAGTTACAATTATAAGCTCCTAAAGTCTGACCTCATATTAAAGTTATAACGGCACATTTTCGAAAAGAAAAAAGAAAAGCGAAATGTGGGAAAAAGGGACTCACAGCAATGTGAACTCATCGGGCGAAACTTTGCGGTTTCCTCGTAGTAACTGCCTTCCAGAAGAAAAAATACTTCGTTGTAAAGAAGCCCAAGGCAGGCTTTTTTTCTTTTTCGAAGTAGATCTTTGAATTTGAGACTTTTTATGTGGATCTTTCCAGGAATCTCCTCGAATTGGAGTAAAATAATCTTCATTTCGATTACTTTTACTGATGAGGCAGCTATAAAAGTAATAAGGAATCCAACCGCTTTATAATGCAGATTTTTTTAGTTGAGGTTTACTTACATTTGGATGTTATGGCTCACAAACCTCGTCCATTTTGGGTGATGCTTCAATGGTAATGTGCGGATAGCCGTCGGACATTTCTATTACCTATGTTAGTCATAGCCTGCGCCCACATGCCCCGCTGCGGTGTTTGAGCTCTATAAACTTACTCAGTGGCTAGGTTTTTAGAATTTTTCACACATTGGGCAGGATTCAACAGCGGAATCCTTAGAAGCAATAACAGCGATTAGAACTAATTATACATGCGTCAGCTCACATAAATAATAAGTTTCTCATTAAATTATATTCATCGATCTGCCGCAGCTGTGGTGGTGCTGTGCAAAATTAGAATCGTTTTAAGAGTTCTCTCTTGAAAGCAATTACTCTGGTGTGAATCCAAATGTTTAGTACTTATAAAATGCTTTCTGGATCACATAATAGTCACTTATTATTCATATTTTATGATCCTTTCGTATATCACATTATTATGGTAGTAATAATGTAACTATAGATTGGAGTTACAACGGCTACCAACCACAAACACGTGCCCCTGATTATTTCAATCACAACAACTTCGGTGTTCCCATGCAATATGGAAATAGAGGAGTTCCAAATCATTGCGGTACATGCACATATTTACAACTTTGACTTGATTTCGCTTTGACGTGTTCATTTTTTCTAGATCGCACCAAATTCGCCCCAGTACAGCAGCAGTGCTCAGGACCGATGCCTACCTTCCCTCTTAATCCTAATGCAGCGGCCTTTGTTCCAAGGAACTATCATCAACAAAATGTAAGTGATTGATTGTTTACAGTTATTACGACTGGTTGTTAAATGCTAATGCAAATATGGTGTGCCCGTAGCACCAGGACTGGTTACGATCTGCGTCATCATAAAAAAAGGATGAACGCTACAAAGGGTTACGTATTTTAAAAAAGTAAGGCTGAAGAAGCGCAATTTTTTTCGAGACGATGAGGTGCGGCTAAATGTGCGTATCTACTCCTTTTACGATTTTTACATGCCCCAATCAATTTCTATTCATGAATTCGACCGTTCTGGAATTAGTTCATCACTTGTAAACCCGTCTTAGTACTTCACGACTCACACAGGGCATGTTTATAGTGTTAGAATCATGTATTTACTACCGAAATGAAATACTTTTTTGTTTGGAAGGCACCGTATTTTTTCGGGTCAGTCCCAGTCACGTGACTTCGCGATTTTCCCAACTGGTAGGTTTTTGGGGCTGTGAGCGGATTCTACAATGCCACGATCCTTCAACTCAAGACGGGTCCTATGAATATAGTTTCAAATGCAGAAATGTAAACGACACGTATTGCTTACGCTGATGAAGTTCCGTTTTGTTCAACTGCTATTTTTTCGTTAAAAGCGTAGTTTACGATAGTTTTGAGGTATCCTTTTGTTGACGGGAAATGGTGCATCGGTGAAGAAGAGAAAAATCTCTAGAATCCAGGGAGTGTGAGGGTACCTGAGAAATGTAGAATAGGGGGTTGTACGAGGTTCTCATGCAGAAAATGGCATAGAATGGATTTTTGGACGTAATTTCGGTCGTTGCGGTTGCGTCAAGAGCTGGCTACATCGGGCGAAAAATGCCTTTGTTGCCTTCTACTTTCCCTATTGTTTGAATTTTCAGCATGTGTTCCGTTATGTACAGTGCAGCCTCCAAAACGCAATAAAAACTCGTCCGCCTCTGAATGCGGATGTATGTGAAGCTGGTGAGGGTTGAGGCGATGTAGTGACAAAAGGAACTTTATTACATGTGCACGGTCTGTGGATCGAGTCTTAGATCGAAACCAAGCTTCCTATCCCTCCGGGGTCGGTGGACAGCAGACTTGAGGGGAGGTTATAAGCACTGACGGAGAGGGGACGCTCACTGTGTTAGTTTACCAAGAAATCAACACGGCGCGAAGTGATCCGTGTTATACCTAGCATTGTGTCGGAGACGAAGAGGAGGATGGTAGGGTTTCAGTATCAAGGGTGTAATTTTTTAGCGAAGTCTTATTAAGGTAGGAGGCTCGGGGTGCGTGAGATGATTACCTGGTGCGAAAAAAGGAAGCACGTCCTTCCCGGTGCTCCTTCCTTCCAAGGCTTATTCGAAAAAGCCATGTCTTTGGTGTAACATAGATTAGCATAACACCGTCTTATTTCTTGATAAACTAACACTGGTGTGCCCCCCCCCCCCCCCCCCCCCCTCTAACAACATTTTCCCCGCCAACGCAAGTCATGCCAAAGGCCACATGTGCTCACAAATAGCCACTCTTATTCTAATTGGAAAATTTGAGGTCGGCTGCGGGAGCGCATCCAAAGAACGGGATCGATTAACGCGGGGACTTTATTATTTATCTCTATTTGCATCATTCCTTAAATGTCTAGGACCATTTCTGAAACTTTGTGGGATCGAAATTTCATATATGTGCATCTATGATGTTAAACTTACTTTTATATTGGAATGATGTAGACAAGACGGATTCCAAAATCCGTCGTATATGTAACGGTGTTTGACCCGTCACATATACGACGCAACAAAGAGGTACCCTGGGTGGGGCCCATTGGCTTAATGGTGGTGCATCAGGGGGTTTATGTATCACACACTCACGGGATACTTGAGTCCGGGGGACGGTCACCTCGTGCGTCCCAGGACGCGCGGCGAAGTTCGTGACGATTTGTACGACTGACGCCTATTTTCGAGGCACAAACTTGAAGTAGAGTAGTTGAGTGGGGTCAGGTGATCCTTCTAATCTACTCTACTTCAAATTCGGGCTCCAATGTTAAACGCCGCAGTCGTCCAAATCGCCACGAACTTCGCCGCGCAACTTGCCACGCGCGTCCTCGGACGCACGAAGTGACACATACTCCTTTGTGGGGCCCACGGGCATGGTGGTGGTGCACCAGGGGTTTCTGTGTCACACGTTTATGGGACACGTAAGTCCCTCTGCCATGTTGTATAAGCCGTCTTTATCCCACTCTGCTACTCTGTAAAATAGATTCTGACTTACCGTAAATAGTTTTTAAAGTGAAAAAGCTCATACCCCGCATGAAGAGCCCAGTAAACTGTTTGGACCAAATTTCTGAAGCATGGAGGCGCTGTGGGCATTGAAATGAAGGGACAGCAGTTAAGCGTTTGTGGAAGTTCGGCAACACGTGGTTTTTAACCATTCTTAACATGTTCTCTAAGGTATTACAAAATTCTATACTTGTGTATACTAGTAAAACCGTGTCAGCATGTATTTGTTGACAATGTTTTCGTAAATCTCTTAACACAACACTGTTTGTAAATAAATACTTTTACTTCGAGTTGAATATGGTGAAGGTTATCCAGATACCCGTGGAATCTCAAGAGAGGGGTAGGATCACCGATATGGTTATGATCTGGTACCAATGAAAACACCTGGTAGTTTTAGAATGTCAGATAGGATTTATTTGTCACGTGTTTCCCATCTTTAACATTTGAATTTGGTCAATGTTTGCATGTCTTTACCTTGAGATTGATAAACACTGCTTACTTTGGTAGCGCGGAACCTTGTAAATAAGCACCCATTCAATTGTTTTTAGGTGGTAAAAAATTAATAATATCGTGACCTAGATGTAAGTAAGTCGCCTATAGGCTTTTATTGCCTCATCCACAGTTTTTTGACCATCATATGTGGCCGCCCTTCCAACGCCAATACAAATTCGATGTGTTTTGTGAAAACCGGCAGTTCTCGAAATTTGTCCATGTATTTACAACTATATCTTAATCTATCTCAAACAGAGCTAGCTTCTCCAAAGAAACCCACTTTATGTAGCGAATTTCTGTTCAATACGTTTGGGTGAGCTACAATTTCATAGTGCATGCTGTGCCATGTACGACCATCTTGTCATTTTTTCCTTTGTATGTGATGGTGATGTTTGCGCTCGACAGCCTCTGTTCGGGAAAAAATTCCCTATTCACTACGAGTTGGACCCGTGACCGGTTATCAACGCATTTAATTAGTTTTAAGCAAAGGATCCAGCTTTCCTAGTGACTTTCTAACCGGTCGAAGGCGGAGACGATTTGTTCGTCAGTCATTTTAGACTGAAGGCTTCGTCGTTAAATTCAGCCTTACCTCTCAGATTGTGTTCTATTTTCCCCTTTGTATCAGCTTATTAAGCCACTATATTCAAAACTAGCTTGTCTTTAATTAATTTTGTTTGTTAAGTGAGCACCCTTCTTCCTGTGGCCCTTTCAGGTCACAACAAATACTCTTTCCCAATTCCCTACAGCTAGAATCTTTCCCTGCAGCGACTTCGCAAACAAGTTTACGTGGGAAATTTGGACTCCGATGTGGAATGAATTGCTTATAGGTAAAATATATCCTTCAGAAACATAACCAGCAGAGTCACAATATTCCCAATATTTTTCCAAACGAGTGTTCTGCCAAACCGACTTTTTCTTGTCAGCTTTTCTGAAGCTCCATTTGCTCTTATAGCTACAACTTTTTGCTGAAATATCACCTGGGCACTCTGCTCAATCCGTGATCGCGTTCAGCACTTTGTATTCCGATGTTATGAAATAGTCTATAATTTTAGGAATTTTAGTTTGGATTTTACGTTTTGATTGGGAGAACTCGGTCGAGCTGAATGGTGACAATGAAGTCTGCGTGCTGGCTGTGAGGCTTGCACGATCCCGTTTGTATAGGATCGCCGTTCCGACGAGGCGTCGACGAACTCGCTAATATTGATCGTCATGAATCGTCGACTCGTCCGATCGCAAATACCCTGTTCCATTCTCTACCATTCAGCCACATTGACTGTTCACCGGCACTTGCTGTTCGACACCCACATTTGTCATTGACAGCCAAAAATTGACCAAAAAAGGAAATTGTTCTGAATTAGATTTCTCCCCTCGTTAAAGTTTTTTTTTGAACACGAGTCGAATTTAAATCCAAAAGCTCTATTCATATCTAAGCATCAACACTTTCCTGGCCCCTATGAATTACCCCAGTAAAAAATACTCTCGTGCTGCGATCAATCGTGTGAACACCACCTGTTTCTCAGTGAATCTCCACCTTCTTTTCTATGAGTGTTACAGTGGTACTTTGGTAGTAACGTGAAACAAGTGACATAATGTCGAGTTTCGAAGTTGCATTTTCCCTTTTAGAAAATTAATTGAAACTTATAAAAAACACTCTTTTCATTCTTCGAGGTGTTTTCTACAGGACATCTCGTTTTGACGGCTCAACCTGGTTTTCTTTTACCGCTCCCTCAATATTTCATTATAGCCATCCGGACCGGCCATGTCATACTATGGTGAGGAAGCCGATGTACGTGCCTATGAAGCCATGTACAATCAGTTTCCCAACGGTGCTGTGCTAGAAGAGTAAGTTTATGATTTGGTTTTCTCCCTATAAACTGCCCGATCATTTGGGTTTCAGATATATTCCTTCGCAAGAGTTGCATCATGACATGGTTCAAAGTGATAATGTCGTTTCCCTTCAAGAAGTATGCTGTTATTTTGAACTCTATTCGTTCTTATCCCAACTTCTATATTTTTTCAGATCCAAGTTGGTTTGGAGCAAATTCTGAGCGACACTGATGACTTTGACTCGTGGGCCGGGGCCATCCGTGACAGGATGCTCGAGAAGCGTATGTCACCTCCGACTCGAGCGGTTGCTGTGCATATGATTTTTGAGATGGTAAGTTTTCTCAAAAATGATGTGTGATTGCACTTAATGTTTTTCTATTTCTCAGGCCATCTCTGTAGCACCTCGTCCGTTGTCTGGGAACAACCCGCAACACACACTTGCTCGGCTGTTGAATTTCTTGTGTTTGGAGGTATTGAATGAGATGCATGAAATCGGGGCCGAAATCCCATTATGAAGTCATTTGATGGCCGTTTTTCTTCCAGATTCCGTCCTTACTACGTGACTCCGTGCTGAAATTGCTTGGCGATTTCCACGGGAAACGCCTCACTTTTCATCCAGAGCACAGGATTAATTTGTGTATTTTCTTCGCCGAGATCTATGAGAAGATGGAGATGGTACTTATTTTCATATTCCATTTAAGCTTCAAAGATTTACATCATAAGAAAATTCACTTTGAAGAAAAAGTTGTACCAAGAAGAATTGAAAGGTAAAAGTCTGTCCCATATTCTTTTGCATACATACAACAACTCATACATTATTACCGGTTCGGAAGCGCAGAGTTTTGCCCAGCGCTTGAAGTGCAATATTTGCCCTTTATTGCATTGGTCCATGAGCGGCAATGTTAGTTCAAATTGAATTTTTTTTTTGAAATATTAATGTTTTTCCAACCCATGTGTTATTCAAGAGGCGTTCATTTGCTGTACAGGGCATTAATTTCAGTTTTGTTTTTGCTGTGCTCTAGAAGGGATTCCAGGTCTGTCATAGTACGGAACTAGTCAGCCCCAATATAAGATTTTTTAGCATAAATTAGTTACACTATAAGTCCGCACGATTTACTATACTATTAAGGCTACTATTATGTGACGGTTAGTCCCTAGAGAAAAGCTTAATTGAAAAACCCTGCCGATTTAAGTATTCTATCTAGTGGCTTCCAGTCTTCCAGTGGAGAGTTGTTGCATTTTGGTCACGGTACCTATGCTTGAGGTTGTTGGACTTTCCCTTCGAACATTGTCGCGTTAAATTTGATGGCCAACCTTCCAGCCAATCAACAGCTAAGCCAATTCTTTAGCTGATTATAACGATCCCCACGTGTAAGGGTTGAATGTGTCCTCATCCGACCGAAACGAACTTGGCCGTTCAAATCAATTTCACCACTGTTTCTGAACTAGTGGCCATTTTCGGTCGATGGTTTTTGATTCTAGCATAAATATCATGAGCGATTAGTTACTGGCGCTGGAATGCTGATGAAAAAGTAGGTGTTGGGGGCGACTGGACCACTCGCTATGCAAATCTGAAGTCCGTTTAAATCATAACGATAGAAGAACTGAGGCATGTAATTCGAAGAGCAAACGACTATCTCTTTCTCTTTTACTTAATGGAAACCTCGTAAATTTAGAGGGGAACTCAAAGTGAAAAATCTATATCAGCAATGAAACAAATGTTTCGCATTTGTTCTTGAAAGCAAGCAATAATGATAAGTTGCATTGGATAGTTTTACAGCTTTTCATATTCGGCTGTATTATGTGCTCAGCGTTATACAACTGCCCTACCTTGACCAAGTGACACAATTTATGAATCACAAAACAACGTATCAACTGTCAATTCCTCAAACATTTGTCATTTGTACTACATTAGATCTAAATCTGCAATAATCGGCTTTCATTTAAATTGCTGTCATCGCATTTCACTTGATGCTTCAACCAAAAATGAAAATGGGCCCTGAAGCTCATTCACTTCACGACATTTTTTGTGAAATTCGTAAGAGTGTAAGTACCGAAAATAAGTACCAGAGATTCTTTCGCATTTCTTTTCGATCATTCCTCTGGAGTGGAGATGTGTGGAATTCTGAAGTCGAAAGTTTTAGATCTAAAACTGGATATATTAGAAAGGCATACGTAAAAAAATTGACAATTAGTACTCAGCTCCATGTACGGCTTTCTATGAACCTCGGCATGATTATATTGGTGAGTTTGTTGTTGTCTTGAACTCTTCACGAGGTTTTTAAANTTTAAAAACCTCGTGAAGAGTTCAAGACAACAACAAACTCACCAATATAATTAGTACTCAGTTTTGTGATCCGTTTTGGTGCTTCCTGGTCATGCTTTGGAACTATAGACAGTCATGCTCTCAATTTCCCTTATAACTCTTTGATTTTTCTTCTATTTTACGTCTAGGACATTTTTGAGTCTGAGTTATAAGCCATCTTAGCCTTTCAGTGCTCATATTTAATGCTCCATATTTTCAGGACAACGAAGGTCGTATAGACAAGGTTGGAGAAGCTTTGTTGGAGCAGCTCGATGACTTATTGAAGCTAGAAATGAGCGACGGCCTCATGAAAACCGTCATTCAGCTTGTGAAGGTATGTTTGGTGTTTTTTACGTTTGTGCTATTTCATTTTCACTAATTTGTACGTTTGATATTTCACTTTTTTTCTCTCAATTTACTTTTTAGTTATGTGGGCGGCACTTGGATGCTTCAACCGTGACGGAACCGCAGATGAACCAACTGCTCACGAAAATGGTAGCGTTTGCGAAAGGACACCCGCAACTTAGCGAGTGAGTCGTCTGTTTGTTGGTCTTCTCATCCATTTTGAAGGCGTAACGGATCGTATGTTGCAGAATGGTCAAATCTCAAATCATGAGTGTGGTTGAAATGCGAAAAAACGCATGGGGATTGAATGTGCGTGGAAATGGCCATTCTGAATCAGTTCCATCTTCGTCTTCGCGACCTGTATCACACGTTGATAGCGGTGTCATTATTGGTGAAGATGGTTCCGCACTAGAACTTAATGAAGAGGAGCGCTCGTTCCTAGAATCGCAATTCAACGCAATGGATGGTATGCATTCTAGTGTGAGAATGATCGGTTATTTTGATATACACTTTCGATGTATAGGTTTGGATGAGGTTGATCAAGACCAGTCATTTGACGAACAAGAAGTTCTCAAGGACTTCGGGGACTTCGTCAAGGAAGAAGAGGTATGGGCTTTTTTCTTGAATTTTATTGTTCGAGTTTCGACATTTGGTGCTGTTGACTTGCTTTGTATGTGTCTCCGGTCGGGGGCATTATATGAAAGTACAAATGTCATTCATAATAAGAAGCGAGTTGTCAATAGAAAGCTCGGTAGCTTTAAACATGATGGTATCCTCTTTCCCTCCTTATGACCACGTCCTCTTTGCCACACAGTAACACTATATTTTGCTAACACTGAAAAATAAAGACTGAATGCGTTGAATCTGCTCCATTGATTGGGTCTACTTCATGGGTTTCTTCATGTGATATTAGTAACTTAAATATGCAATTGGATGAAATCGGCCTTTTTAAGACATTCCCAAAAATGAGGTATTGCCAGATATCAACTGTGTACGACACTTCGATATTAAGCTGATGCTTTTCATATATACTACTAAGCTAATACTTTACATTTACCTTATGAGCTTGTACTCTATATTTATACATACTGTATCTGTAGCCCCTTTCTCCACATTGTTCGCTCGGGCTGGCTGGTTCGCTGCTTCTTAGGTCTTAATCAATTCTACAGCCACAATTTTTACAACGTCGAGCTCACTTCACACATATAGGCCGAATGTAAAAGCTATGTAAGTGTACGAGTCACGAAGACAGCATCGATGCAAATTGTCCTCCATAAGAAAATGATGTCTGGAGACATTGCTAAAATTGCAACTAATCCATTCAGAGGAAGGAGTGCATAGGTGCTGTGGTTATTACTTGGCGCATAGCAACTTCGCTAATGGCTTACTTTGGTAACTTCGCCTCATCGCATCGCCCTCTCACCACCCTAGTCGCTTTTAACGATGCATAGCGCATTTGGTGTTCCCTTGGTCTTTCAGCACCCGAATGAGATTGTGTATTCATGAGACTGAAGGTTTCAAGAATTGTTAAGAGCTTTCATTTGATGATCGCGTTCTATTCTTCTACCTTCTGTTACGTTGCTTAAGGATTATCTCATTATTCAGGAACTCAGTTCTTTTTGTTTTGGAGGAACTTTTTCCAAGATTAGTTTTCTGAGCAGTAACCTACTCCCTAATGCGTGATTCAACTTATTATTACGTGTTTTCGTTCATTTTCATGAATGTTCATGATTTCAGGAACGTAAGACGACCTCAATGATGGAAAAGCTGAAAGTGTGCGAAAATGAGACTGAGAAGAATGAGAAGGATAACTAAAAAGCGGAGGCCTCTACCTCGCCAAAATCACTATTAGTCTATACTAAAACGTCTTCTAATGTTTTTAATTGACCTTCATCATCTGTTTCCAAATCTAGTTGTTCATGTCGTCTACCTTAGTTACACTGTTATATCACCACGACACCCACATCACTCGATATATATTGGACGTGTAAACAAATGATCTTGAGGTCGTCGTGATTATATCTACCAGCTTGATAGGCTATTTACGCCCGACGAGTCATCCTTATAGTCGTGTAAATGTTTTCCTATGTTTTATCTCGTTTTCATTTCTAACCAGAACATATCCTTGGATGACAAGAGGGCAAGAGTCAACTTGGACGAGTACTGCCTTCTGATGAATAAGCACCTCAGAGCTTCTCTCAAAGTTCCATGAGAAAAGTATCATGTGGAAAGCTTCTTTGTTGATTGGGTCAGCTGGGTATGGTTCTTTGTACCCGAACGGTATGCCGTGCTTGCAGAGTTCTGTGATCCCCTAAAGATGGAAAAACCTTTGCGAAGCAAAAAAAAGGGTCAGTGGATGTACGTTGAGTTGCTTTAACTGGTGAAATGGCAAGTGATGGTACAAGAAGGCGCAAGTCAAGGGTCAGTTAGTGAAAAATGTGCTTTGAAGGTGGACTGAGTTCTTCCTATACTTAACATCTTCAAAACTTGCAAAGCTTGAGTTAGTTTCTTTGAGTACAAGTTGTTCAAAGTACGCCCTTATGAGTGTAGTACAGAGTGGTGAAGCCGCTCTACCACCTGTTTGTACTTCTCTATAAGTGGCTCCAAAGGTAAGGTAAATAGTGTTTTCATCTAAAAATTTGCATGAAATACGAAGCGAAGAGAATCCAGGGCTTCGAAATCAATGTAAATGTGTGAACTTGCCACCTCAGCTACATAACAGTGAATCCTGACGAAGATCAGAAGTGATTTTGGGTTTTAAATACTGGGTTCTCTGGATTCCTATTCGATGTTTTCCTTTTGTAGCACTTCTCATCTTTCCTCTTCAATTTCTTCTTACTTTTCTTCTTTTTACCAATATTTTCATAGTTTTGGGGAAACTCTTGATTACTGTATTAGGGATTGATTAGGGATTCCTGTTATAGGAAATTATCTCTTATACATTTGCATAGCCCTTCTGGCGAGAGGACGAATTGCTCACATGGGATCGGGCAAACTTCCTCCAGTACCGATTGAGGTAACGACTTGTAAAATGCCCGGTTTTGCGCAGTAAATCTGATTCCAAGGTAGTTAGACCGCTCTGATCCAACCGTCCATCGGCAATCTTCCTTCCTACCAGAGTTACTGTTCAGTTTTCCCCAACCTGATTTTTTCTGTTGCACCCTTCATCCTTTGCCCAGAATGCGATCTAACCTTCCAGGGATTGCACGTATTCGAAATTTGCTGGTAGGAGTTACTAAGAGTGTTTGCATTGAGGGAAATGAAAATGTTCCGTTAAAAATCTGCAAAATACGTCTCCTTTTTGTATGGCTGGTTTGAAGGACGAGTGCCCTCAACAGCCGATTGTGTTTAGTGTTTGGATAAACTCTCGAGTGTGGCCAACTCAAATCTGATTTCCTCGAATTTCCCACTGGTTTACTTGACCTATTTAATGCAATTGGTCCATATTTCCCACTCTTAATTACGCTATCATTTTGAATCGAGTGATAAAGGACAGGTATCCTAGCTTAGAATTCGGCACTAGATACACATACTGAAAGTGGTTATCGAAAGAATGTTCTTCTATAAATTCAAGATAAAAAGAGCAATACCAATCAAGCAGGACTTTTTTGAACGATTTTGTTGAAGCGTGCTCGGTTGTTTTTTCATGGCCTCATCCCGTGTCGTTCTATATTCATGCAGACTGTGAATCTCTCTTATTTATAAAGCAGTAACTTGGTGTGTCGGTATGTCCGTCCGCAAAACTTTATGATTACGATAAAGGTAATGATATGGAGAACCCAGTTCTATCCTACATTTCCTTCTTATATGTAAACAGTAACTTGGTGGGTAGGTTAATGTAACGGTTAATGAGTTAGTACTGCGGAGTAAAGTGAGTAATGTGGAATGAAGTGGAGGCTTCAAAACAGTGATCTCTATCTGTACCGGGATCGTGCCATGTATTTCTCTTTTTTCAACTTTGAACGCTATAGCGCAGATAAGGAGGTGAGCCTAAAATTGGGCTCAGGAACGTTTCTAAACCGAGAACATACAGCCTCTAACCTGAGTCTCAGGAGTGAAGAAGCACGTGGCAGGTGAGGCGCACACCCCCACGCCAACTGTAATACATTTTCTATCTACTTTGTAAAAGTGGGGAATGAGAGCCCGGCGTAAGTCGGGCGACCCGACTGGTTCCAAAATAAACAGAAACTGGAGGTCAGATGATAAGTAGAAAAGGCTTATCAGCATATTTGAATTGTAAAATTGTATGGAATCTCTAGTTCATGCGATCGTGCTGCAAACAGTTCTTATCACCTGTCCTCCTTGTGTACGTTAGACAGCCGAAATCCTAAACAATCTCATTATAAAACAAAGTTCTGTCTGTATTCATTTGTGTGTAAAACTCAGTGGTCCAGGTGCACGGCGCATTCCGTTCGTGATTGTCGACTTGTTATCAGTCAACTTTGTTAGCACGTTATAGTCAAACAAGTGAAAGATCATAGAAGTCCTAAAAATTGAGAAAAAATCAAATGGAACGGAAATGAAAAAATAACAGAAAAAATTAGGGAAATGACCGCAGAATGCATAGACTATTCCCATGTGAGGACAGCTGATAAACAAATGCATAAACACAAACAGAAGAAAAACATTTACGAGACAGTACCTGAAATCAGTTACAGCGTTCTAGAGCAAGCAGAGCGCCCAACAGTAGTGTGTGTCCGTTGGGCACGTTCATACTTAGCGGCGTTCATCCCTTTTCTGTTTCTCTCTTGATGTTGATGCCGATCGCCCGTCAGCTGCCTTCATACTTCGACGTGCGTGCCGGCACGCAGGTCGAAGCGCAGGCACAATCTTGCGTGCGGCCTGCGAGTGGTTATGCGACGAGCGGCGCTAGAGAGGTGTTGACAACGCTGGACGCGGATGGATCACGTGCCACTGCTGCCACACAGTTGGTCAGCGCCGCCGTCGCATAGCTGCTCGCACGCCGCACGCAAAGTTGTTTGTACCTGCGTGCCGGCACGCACGTCGAAGTATGAAAGCAGCCTTCCGGCAGACTCACGCATTAGTGCAGAACATGCGATCATACGTCTTGTTTCTTTCTTGAAGGATCCATTATTCTTACACTACGACACCCTAACAAAGAAAAGTGAGTCCTTTAATCTCATTTGCGAACATCGCGGCTTGGTTAACGGAAACGACGTATTANTTACCTTTACCGAATTTCCTTTAGAGAACTTCAGTTCTCTCAATGTAACGTTCATTTTTAATGTGTCCACATATATTACTGCCTTAATGAAGGCAGATGCGGTGGTGTACAGAGGCTACCGCTTCTTACTCCAGGTTTTTTCGCTACCATTTTCATAAATGCCTTCACTTTGATGGCTTGCCCTCATAATCAAGTCATTTCAAGCTGTTTTAGGTTGCTATCTACCATCTACCACAAAGTCTTTTTTTTTTTTCGTAGCAGTCAAAGTTCCACTGGTGAGTTTGGTGAAAGTTTGACTTTCCTAGAAATTCGCTGTTCAGGTCAATGACTTAAATATTGGGAATGGCTATGATTCAATGTGGAAGATGAATGAGTTGTCGAGACGAATTAATCACCTTTTGGCAAAGCGAGTTTTCAGGTGATTTGTTAGAAAATACTTGAAAAAACGTTGTTTGACCCTTTTTTAGGTAGGTAGGTGGGATGAATTGCGGTACCAGGTTCATGACTTTCACAGAGTTCTCTGTGTATTGTAATATCTGGGTTTTCAGAAAGAAGGAACCGGCATCACTGTGCAATATAGATGCTTCGACATACGGGACCAACAGTAAGTACCTCATTATTCAGCTTATCTAATACTACTGAAGACCTATAAATCTCTGAAATTTCGTCACATCAAGAAGCGCGGGATGGAGGTGCAGTATTTACAATTAACATAATTCATTGGCTCCACGCACCATTTTCCATAAATCTCGGCATAATTGTATTATTGAATTTTCTGATTTCTTGAACTCTTCAAGAGGTGTGTAAATATGTTTTTTTTTTACCTGACGTTTCGGCGGAATCCTCTTCTTCAAAGCCTGAAAGGGTCATAACACTCTGTGACTATCGAGCAACTCACTCAAGTTCGAGACCCCCGGGGCTCGCAGATTATTGAAAGGAAAAAAGAGGCCACTCACCACTACTTTAGGGATTCTTCGGGAACCACCCAGTAAGTGATGGTACTAACCGGCCAGTGTTACCTGGAGTATCTCCTTATTCAGAGTCTTCTTACAATCACCTGCATGCCTGGGGGTCTCGAACTTCGATGGGTTGGTGGAGAAGTTTGATCGGAAAGTCACAGATTGTTGTTATCCTTTCAGGTTACGAAGAAGGCGATCTGCCTAAACATCAGTCAAATGAAACTTATTCACGAACCTCTCGAAGAGTTTAAGAAAACAGTAAACTCAGTAACATAATTCATTAGAGAATGAAAAATCTTTTTTCTTATTTAAGAATTCACTCTCTTTTATCTTGGAACCAGATTATGATTCATTCCAAGAATGCTCGCTCTTGCTGTCCAGGTATTGAAACTATTGTTAACATCGCTGATGCATCAATTCCAATTCACCCCTAACTTACAGGTATTCAGAGGTGGGAACAAAAAATGATTGCTAAGAACGTGATAAGCTTTAAAACGGGTAATGACGGTTTCACGAGAGCGAACGTCTCTGAGGAAAGGCTGCTAAGTGAAAAGTGGTGCCACTTCCGCTCTCTCGCCCTTTCATTTTCTCTTCGCAAAGTTCATTTGCGAGATGTTTACTTTCTTGAATTTTTACGCAGTGGAATCAAGAGTCAACTAACCAGTCAGCAAATCGTAGCGTTCGTAAGGTGGTGTTCCAGCAGTATGGCTACTGCCTGCTACCACTTGCCCCACCAAGAACGTACTATTCCGGCTCACAGTTCAATTAGTTATTCGCAGTCGCTATCGATGTCACTCGCTCTTTGCTCCACCTTTTGATCGGTTTGGTTGTTTTTCTTCTGTTGTGTCACAGTGCCGCTATTTGCAGTGTGTCAAGCGGTCAATGGAGCTGGTCGTTTGCCATCTGCTGATCACTGCTCTCGCTCTCACATCTGCATTCCAAACTAAGGTGAATTTAGTCTTTTTTGGTTCATAAACTCATCGTTTCTATAGTTGTGCACTTTGACATGGACACTCACGAAAAAACGGTGGTATCGTTGCTATTGACGTTGCTCGTTTACTTTCTTCTCCCAAATGTATGCCATCATTATGGGAGTAAACATAACTGTTGATTACTGAAGTAGAATGAAATGAAATTACAGCCGACGTTTCTCTTCTTCCGGTTCTCTATTTTTAGTTTTTCCGATATTTGTGTCGTGTACCTTAGCCCAGAAATGGGGAAGTTGCAGTATATCAGTAGAGAGCTGCGGATCCTTCCCGAAACTTCTTCACCTCACTATAGTGATGCCTTCGCCACCGATTATCCCTTTACCGAAGTATATGTTTGATTGAAATTTTCTCGTCATGGGGCAGCCCCTACAATCGACCTATGCGTTTAAAGGATCCTTTACGGTTTCGGGGGTGGACTAGAAATCGGCCACTTGTATCGTTCAGAGAAGTTTGCACTCCATCATCTCAGTACCTATCACCTATGAGTTTGTAAAAGTTGCAGGAGTTTGAAGCATCTGATTCCTCATTCAATTGAGGCTCTGAGAGTATTATATAATTTATGAACTTAAGTGCTGTCCACTTTCAGTTGATAGCAACTTCCAAAGTCCTCCTCGATGAGATTATCAATGGACATGACGATTCTTTGAAATGGTTGGCTGAATTATGTGATGACTTTGGACCACGAAAAACGGGTTCCGACTCCTTGGAAAAGTGAGTCTTTATGTAAACGATTACCCAGTGAGACCTTTACTACTAAATCACGGAATGTTTTGTCATTCAGCACAACTTTTTCATTTGAAAGTTATTATTATGAGAAGATGTTAATATGATTCAGTGCAATCGATTGGGTAATGGAATCATTGCAAGCAAGTGGTTTTGAAGTCCATTCCGAGCCCGTTCCTGGATTGCCCAATTGGACCCGTGGTGACGACTCGGCATATATCACAGGTTATTTCCCGATTCCCTTCTTTTTGTCAATTCCCAGAAAGAAAAAGATTTGTAATCAGAGATATAGCTACGTTGAAATGAAAAGACTTTATAAGTTATGGCTCTGGCCACTCGAGGCAGCTCATGTAAAAACCCATAATAGATGAATCCCACTGGAGAAAGTAGTAGTTTTTTAATCTGTTTATTACCTTCCCTCTATTGTTCAGCTCTCTTTCCCAAAAGAGAATTGAACATACTCTCTCTCCATAAATTGTGGAAGGATTTCGAATTACGTGCTATCGACAGATAATTCTCCCTGAATCATTTTGATGCTTGACCGCAGGAATATCGACGTTCTTTTAAAGGTAAGGCTCTACTGCGTGAGATTATGGTCAACTTATGGCTCATAATCCTCACAATCTTTATGTTTGGTTAGGATGTCTGTTTTGGACTTCAGAAAAAAATCGGGCATGTCATGATATGTAGATGTTGACTGCTGAGCTACCTAGGCCGCGAACCATTAGGACTTCAGGCTCTTCACTAAAGGTTTTGCCAACTTCACAGTCTGTTCAAGCATTTTCACCACGTCGTTTTTGAAGCACTGTATCAGAAACTGAACTGTTTAACTGAGATTCTCTCAAGTATCACATAGAGCATAGAACTTCCCTACTGAAAATTATCTGTTAGTTAGTGAATCATTTCCGCGTCGAATAGGCTAGCGCAACTTCGTCGTTTCGAATCGATTTCAAGTGGTACTCATGAAGAATCTGTTCTCCGAGAATGTTCTTCAAAAATTAGATGAAGTATCTGAGAAATCAGCGAGTAAACGAGTTTGCTAAATGTACGGATCTACCAACTTGAACGAGTATTCCCAGGCCCATTTATGGAAGTTCTCTGCATTTTTTTATTTTCTCAGATGTAAGCTGATTCAGAAATAATGGGTAGTNGCAACTTCGTCGTTTCGAATCGATTTCAAGTGGTACTCATGAAGAATCTGTTCTCCGAGAATGTTTTTCAAAAATTAGATGAAGTATCTGAGAAATCAGCTTGTAAACGAGTTTGCTAAATGTACGGATCTACCAACTTGAACGAGTATACCCAGGCCCATTTATGGAAGTTCTCTGCATTTTTTTATTTTCCCAGATGTAAGCTGATTCAGAAATAATGGGTAGTCTTCAACAAACACCATTAAAAAAAAGCATGTTTCTGATGTAGACTTTTTCTATGTCCCATGCATTTCACTTTCAACGCCCCTAGAAAGCCGATCGACGCGCGCTCATGATGAGCCTGGTGCCAGTTAACTCGCTTTGCCAAGTATGAACAGGTGGCTGGCGCCGGCTGCGATTTGGCGCATGGATCATGGATTCAGCAGATATGACAGAAATTGCTTTTGCACTGCTTTCGTGGAGAAATCTCTTATATTTCAAAACAAACGCGCGGCTCCGACTTCTAGACAAAAGCAAGATGTTTCATCTATTGGATTCTACTCCTTAGTAACCCAGCCACAAGACATAACTGAGTTCGTATGATTTGAAGAATTTTTTTGAATGGACTTTTTTAGAGCCACGACAGCACAAACTCAACATATTGGCCATTGATGGGTCTCCTCCTGGCCTAGTTGAAGGTGAAGTTGTTGTAATACGGGAAATAGAAGAGTTGAAGGTAATTTCTAATTTTTATTAGTACTAAAAGTCGTGCAAATCTTTTGCAGAACAAAAAAGTCAAAGGGAAGATCGTCGTCACTGCTCAGAATTGGACCAGCTATGGCAATGCAGTGAAATACCGACATCTTGCTAAAGAGGTAGCGAAGCGAGGAGGGCTGGCATTACTGGCGAAGTCAGCTGCACCGATGTCTCTATACACAGCTCATACGGGAGCAGGAGCTCGAGGTGTGTTTTTCTCGTACCTCCTTTTGCTAATACTAGGCAACATATTTCTGTGCGTCTTGATAATATTGGCATCTGCTCATTTTTGCGTTTCCTTGAGACTCGTTGGTGGAGGCTGCAAGGCGCACCCTGCTAGACTCCTTCTCAGCTCGATCTGCTCCCCTCGTCCTGAGCTTCATCATCTTGCTTTGCAGTGAATGAGAGGAACTGTTTTTATAGTGTCGAGTGATCTACTAAGCGGACTGCTGTAAAATGAGCGGGTCCCGTAGACTCATGGCACGTCAAAAAATTCTTTCCCGTCACTGGTGCAGGCAGGTGGCGCTAGCAGAAACAGTTTTCACGTCAATGCCGAACCTTCAACTAACCATAAGTACTCTATTTTATTGCTGTTCAATCGGGCATAAAAAGGTTTGACATCGCTGGAGGAGCGCCACCTACATTTTATCTGTCCACAGAATAATTCTTCCACGTCCACACTAAAGAAGTCTTAATTGCTAGCTACGTAGCCTGAGCATTCTCTTTTGGGAGTTGACGAGACAACACACCTGTAGGAGGATGAAAGGATGAAGTTTTTCGGTGTAGAGTCAATTGATTTTTTTAGGTTCCCCCATTCCGGCGGCTTGTTTGACCATTGAAGAAGCAGAAATGATTTCAAGGTGGTATGATAGGAAAAAGAAAGTGACAGTCAGGCTAAATATTACATCCGCCGAGTCTCCGGAAAAAGTCATGAGTCGCAATGTCGTATTCGAAATAAGAGGTTGATTTTTTTGCTACATCTGTGATTTCAGAACAGCATACTCACAGTCTTTCCTTGAAGGTTCTTCCCACCCTGATGAAATCGTGCTCCTGTCCGCCCATATTGATTCCTGGGATGTTGGGCAGGGTGCTCTAGATGACGGTGGTGGCATGGCAGCCATGAGAGCTGCAATGTTGGCCATCAAACGGCTTTCCCAAGTCAATCTTGATTTCAAACCGAAAAGGTGATTTTCATGTCTACAGTTGCTGCAGTTATTAGTATTTTATATGAGAGCAGTTCCATCAGATTGAATTTTCTCAATAACTAATGCTTAGCTGGGAACTGGTCTATCCTATTACTTTCTTCAACGCAAAAGAACGAAACTAATTATTGGCTGGTAACATATTTGATCTCAGAGGGTTCAAAGTACATTGCAAAAAGAACACTCTTACAGTTGCCGTTATTCGGTCCTCTTTTTGTGTGTCAAGTGTTCTTGCGTGTGGGTTGAAGGTAGTTTCAGAACTATACGAGGGATATTCTGGACGGCCGAGGAACAAGGAACTCTTGGATCCTCCCACTACTTTCACGACCATTCAAACGGAAATGAACGTTTCGTGTTCGCATCGGAGAGTGATCAAGGAGCATTCCGACCATGTAATTATCGATCTAGACTACGGTACCAAGGCGACAGACGACATGTGTGTGACTTCTGAAACCATCCTTTTTTATCTACGCGAAACTGTGAAGTCGCTTTCAGAAGTCGTTGATTGAGCAAATAGTTTTGTTGATGAATGCAAACGGAGTTCCGCTACGAGTTCAGAATAGCAATGATCAGGTAAGTGCGAAATCAGGTTCCTTTTATATGCTGCTGGTGCTGGGCTACTGTATCTCGGCTCAGCTTTTTCGTTTATATTCTCGACAGTTTTTCTTAACCGAAATAGATATTGATACAGTTCTCACTAGGGAAGGATCCCAAGTCGAAGTGGCCATTTGAAATGAGACCTATACTGCTAGACGTATTTTTCGATGCTGATTTTAAATCTGCATTCAAAATCTGCCAAACGATTCTCTGAGCGAAGTTATGGAGGTGGTCTTCGGAGAGCGCTCAACGGGGGAAAGCACAAAAGCCATGGTCGCCGGCAGCGTAGCAGTGGCGGCTTGGAGTGGAGGTAAGCGTGAGGCTTCACAGGCACGGGACCAAGGATCGGGTTTGATGGGCGGCGGCGTTCTTGCATTTTGCAGGACTTTTTCCTCCAAGGTGGAAAAAGCTTTTTATAAAAGTTTTACCGCCTTCAGCGACTTTCTAGTTGCTGGAAGCGAGTCAGTTCCTACTTAAACCACCTTCCACTGCTATTGATTAGTTTTCAAAAAAGGTGAGGGTTGCGGTCAGTTTTC